TGAAGGAAGTCTTCATGCAGGTGGAAGATGAGCGTCGGCATGCAGACCAGTACAAGGAGCAGGTAGGCAGAGGGCCTTGGCTTTTGAGGCCTGCCTCTCAGAAAAGGCAGATTGAATATGACTTCCAATAGAGAAGACCTGTTAAGATAATGTTCTTACTAAAAGATCTGAGGGAATCTCCATCCTGACACCCAGGGTTCAATGCTGCAAGTCACTGTTTTGGTTGCCTCCTGCTGTGCTGTTGGTAAACAGGGGGAGTAGGGCTGGTTTTTCCCTTCGCCACTGAGGAAAGGAAATAGATGAAGCTCTCAATGACCTGCAGACTCCCCCATGTTCCTATACAGCAGTTGCTGAACATTTTAAAGTGCTGAGCCATTAGAGTAGTTTCTCGCTAGATTCCAGCAATCAAAACCTCCCCAAATTAGCTTTGGCATGATGGGCTGCTGTGTGCTGCACAACCACTGTCTGCTTGTACACCAAACCTGCCCTCCCAGGCCATGGGGCTGCAGCTGCCGACTTCGATCCTGACAATCTGACTTTATTTTCTAGATGGAAAAAGCAAATGCCAGGATGAAGCAGCTCAAACGCCAACTGGAGGAGGCTGAGGAGGAAGCGACTCGTGCAAATGCTTCCCGACGTAAACTTCAGCGTGAGCTGGATGATGCCACAGAGGCCAACGAGGGCCTGAGCCGTGAGGTCAGCACCCTGAAAAACAGGCTTAGGTAAGAGGCACCAACAGAAATAGGACAGAATTTTATCTAGGGCCTCGTGTTTCTCTGGTCTGTCTTCATAATGCCAGCATCTTTGGGGAGCATCTGGCTGTGGGACTGCAGAAGCAGAGCCCCTAATGTCAGGTGCTGGGTCAAGCTGCCATCTGCTGAGACCTGTTGAATCAGCGCAATGGTGGTAAGCTGCCAGACCACAAAGAAAATTCCTGACAACTCCTGGAGCCTAAACTCATGTGTTCTTCATCCAAGACAGTCATAGGTAAAAATGGAGAAAACAGCTCAGTCCTGCCTTATCAGTGGCAAATATTGATGCCTTTTGTCATAGCCCACAATGGTAGGGCAAGAGCAAAGAGCAATGGTATGAAGTCAACAAAAATACCAGGAATGCTAGAACGTGTTTGAGCACAGCACGACGCCTTGTTAGGAGATGTTGTTGTTAAGAGATGGTCTCAAAATTGCTGGTAAAATTTGTCCTGTGGGTGGCCTGGAGCGGAGCTGCTGAATTCCCCTTGCTGTTGAGCAGAAGCTTTTCCAGGGGCAGCCACCTGCTCCGCGGTTCACGCGGGGCGAGAGGCGACACCTGAGCGGTTGCTGTCATCTTGTTTGCAGGAGGGGGGGCCCCATCACCTTCTCCTCGAGTCGCTCTGGACGGCGCCAGCTGCACATCGAAGGGGCCTCCCTCGAGCTCTCTGACGACGACGCGGAGAGCAAAGGCAGCGACGTGAACGAAGCGCAGCCCGCCCCCGCGGAGTAGAGCCCCGCGCACCGCTGCATGCAGAGACCTTCTCCACAGTAGTCAGCAGAACAAGGAGGACTTACGTGACCACCAAACTGCCTTGTGGCCTCAAAATCTGCCTTATGACGAGTCGGCATGCTACAAGGTTACTTATCATAGGTCAACTATGTCTTAAGGCTCTCTAGCCTCAACATACTGTACCCTGCTTCAGATATAGGTACAACTGGTTTTTTTTTTTTATATATATAGTAAACAAAATGGGATCGTCTCTGTTCAGTGCAGACACTCATATTTTCCAGACAGTCATTGTAAAGCCATTTTATAAAGCATCATGTGAAGGATAAAACTTTTTTTTATCAATACAGAAACTTCATTCCCAGAGGGTAGGTGGTTGGGACAGACCCATTGTCATGACTATGCATGCTTTGTTGTACAGACAACATCCTTCCATTTCTTCTGTGCTCAGGCGGCCCTTGGCCGTGCTGGGTCTATTGGATCATTGAAGACCAAACTACACCTGTATCTTTCTTTGCTCCTACTTGGTGCGATCCGCACACAATCAGCAAGCGAACTGTGAAAAGGCCTTGGGAAGTGTTAGGAGGGAAGTGTAGGGATGAGTGAGTAGTGTCTGTTTTTTTTAACCTGCAGTATCATTTTGAAGTGTTCTCAGCACCCGCTTCACCCATTAGTGTTCGTGCAGTACAGGCGACCTGAACTAGCGTCACCGCTCCTCATCTGTACAGGATTCTGCGTCGGTAGAGACCTGCTTGTCGCCACCCGCAACCCGTCTGTGTATATATAGTAAGGCTAGTATAATGTGAACACCAGTGGAAAATAAACACACAACACAGGCAAAATTAATTTATTAATTTATGGCTGAGCAGTCTTCAGGACATGGAGGAGCCGAGTAGCTGCACCGTGACCTAAGGGCCCTGCAATCCCTTAGCCAGCCCAGTGTCAGCCCCGGAGCTGGTCCACGGGCAGTCGGAGCAGCGCGCGGGGAGCGCAGCTCGGCCGGAGCCTGCGCGTCGCGGGGCTGCAGCCAGGGGTGTTGCCTGCCTGCGAGTTAACATGCCAGTGGATGTGAATCCTTTAATTTTTTTTTTTTTTTTTTTAATTTGTCGTTTTTGTTTTGTTTTGTTTTTTAATTTTTGAACAGTATTACAGCAAGTAGTTAGCCTTTTTTTTGTTTAAATAGCTGAAAAACTGATATTACAGAAAGTGCCTTAGACACTACAGTACTAAGACAATGTTACATATATAATTTGCCTATATAACAATGATTTAATGTGTTAATTTTGACTGTGCTTCATATCATGTACCGCTCTAGTCCAAGTGGTATTATTGATATTAGTGACAATGAATCAGTGTTAACTAGGAAACTTCCTCTGCCACATGCTCGAAACAACATGGATTTCCTTTTTGGTTAAAAGCTTTAACATCTGTCGCAAAGGTTTTGTTGTGTGTGTTTGGATATTTTTAATCAAACTGGCTGTTGACCACCAGGCATCTGACTGCAAATATCTTGTTTTCTTGTATACCCATATTTCTAGACAATGATTTTTGTAAGACAATAAATTTATTCATTATAGATGCGGCCGCCTGCTCTGTTTACTTCCAGGAAGAGCTATCTCCTGAGGCTGGCATAGACCCTAATAAACAAGAGTATGACTGGACGCTGCCTCTTCCCTTCTTACTGCTTTTGGGGTGTTGTTTGCTTTTCTTGTGACCTATGCAGAGCAGAGGCGGCCTGGCCGTGGGGCCAGACCTTGCGCTTCAGCTGCACGTTGCTGTTGGAGGGAGCTTGGGAACCCGGCACTGCTGTTCTGGACCGTTGCACAGGGCCCCCCTGCCTTCTTTGACCTCAGTTTCTGCCTCTAACAAGTGTTGTCCTTTTCTTGCCGTAGACGCAGCAGCCACATGGACCCAAAACTGCGCAAGCTGGGGCTGAGGGTGCAATCCCAGTGCCAGGGTCTGCTCTGCAGGGGCAGGGGACAAGTAAAGAGGGTTAATATGAAGGTGCTAGGACTAATGACTTCATTAGGTATGGATGAAAAAAAGAAGTATAAAAATAGTAGCTTAACACCTTAAGCTCAGCATCAGTGACAAAACCCGCTGGCAGCCACTTCACAGGCTCCTCGGGAGGACCCAAACCCCTGGAGCCACCAAGGCTACAAGGGAGGAAGAGGGTTCCTGCATAGGAGGATCTGAGTCAGGACCAGGCACCAGAGAACCCCCCCACTACCAGCAGCAACTCCCTTGTCCCCCCGCAACCAAGGACAGGCACGAAGAACAGGACACAGCACAGCCACACACCCCCTCCCCGCAAAATCCACTCCTTCCACATTAAAAAAACTTTATTTTTGGAAGATTACTCTCTTGGATTTTTAAACCATGTGATCGGTGTCACCGCTGTGGTACAGTACACTGTCCTATTGAAACACGTCATATAGATTCTGAATAAATAAACTACAATGTTATGTACAAAGCTCTTAGACAAAGATAATATGTTTACAAACCTATGTACAATAAAACAAATGTAAACAGTCAAATGCAGCCAAAAATGCATAGGAAGAGGAACACACAAAACCCAATGATAACTGGGGACTCTCCTGCTGGGACAAACGTGGGTTTTTCTTTCAGCAGTTGTAAATAAACCAACTTGGAGCTGTGGAGCCAAATAAATGTGACTGAACTGCACCACTGTGGAGAATCATAGAACCATAGAATCACAGAATCCTTAAGGTTGGAAGGGACCTCTAGAGGCCATCTAGTCCAACCCCCCTGCACACGCAGGATCACCTAGAGCACGTGGCACAGGACTGCGTCCAAGCAGGTTTGAAGATCTCCAGAGAAGGAGACTCCACAACCTCTTTGGGCAGCCTGTTCCAGTGCTCTATCACCCTCATTGGCAAGAAATTTTTTCTTAAGTTCCTGTGGTACTTTGGATCCTTTAGTTTCCGGCCGTTAGCTCTAGTTCTGTCGGTGGCCACCAGTGAAAAGAGGCCAGCACCATCCTCCTCACTGCCTCCCTTGAGGTACTTCTAGACACTGCTCAGGTCCCCTCTCAGCCTTCTCTTCTCCAGGCTGAACAGGCCCAGCTCCCTCAGCCTCTCCTCATAGGGCAGATGTCCCAGGCCCGTGATCATCCTTGTGTCCCTGCGCTGGACTCTCTCCAGCAGCTCCACAGCCCTCTTGTACTGTGGAGCCCAGAACTGGACACAGTACTCCAGATGCGGCCTCACCAGGGCTGAGTAGAGGGGCAGGATCACCTCCCTCGACCTGCTAGAGATGCGCTTCTTAATGCAGCCCAGGATCCCATTGGCCTTCTTGGCCACGAGGGCACACTGCTGCCTCATGGTCAACTTATCATCCACCATGACACCCAGGTCTTTCCCCGCAGAGCTGCTCCCCA